GGGCATGGGGCCTGGCCTTCAGAGTAGTTTGTGTACTTAAGGAGACTCCATTCGAGAAACTAATTTTTCATTTGCCAAGTTGTTACCAATTGGAGATAGCTCTGGCTTAGGGATCCGGGCTTGTGAGTACTTCCCTTCTCAGCACTGGGACTTTGTCTGGCTTAGACCCATGCAAGCCCAGTGCATGCTGCCACAGTCTCTGTGAGCTCATGTGTTTTTTGGTACTGCTGTGTTTAGAAGGCCTTGTTTCCTTTGTGTCCCGAATCCCCTCTGGCTTTTACAATCTTCCCATCTCCTCTTCCACAAGCTTGTGGCTTTCTTTAATGATCTTCACCAACTGTAAACAGAAGCTCTTTAATGAGGGGTGGAAACTACAGTTATTTGTGGACATAAAGATAAATATTTTAATGCAGTAGAGACTATATTGGTTTAGATAACTTGCAGTAGTGGGTTCTCCTCTGCCATCCATGGGCTCCTCAGTCATGGATAATTGGCTACATTTACAGTGCCAAGCAAGAATTCCTTTCTATTGAGTCTTCAGTAGTGAGATGTGACTCCTGGCTGCCCTCAAGATATTAGTGCCATTATTGCACCTTTAAGAATATCTTGCCATACTGGTCAATGTTATGGTTCATTGGTATTACAGCTGTGTAGTACTATTTGCTTCAGTTCCAGATGGATTCCTCCAAATACTGTGTGTAAATTGTGTTATGTCTTCAGCAACTGAATCTTACCTTCTTTTTCAGGAAGGCAATAAAGGCATTGGCTATAGCATACATTGTTTGGGGGTCTTTTTGATGTCTTTAATCAGAAACTTAAAAGGAAGTTTCCCAGGGCTGGTACTGGGTTTTTGTTGGATAGTTGAGGCTTTTGTGGGGAGCATTGTCATCCCTATTTGAGTAACTTTAATTAACCTCCCACACTTACATATAGTCCAAAGTCCATGCAATATCAAAGAATCCAAGGAACTTTTTTATAATCTTACATTCTCTTCTAATAATGTATCTGTGTGAAGCCAGATATTCTTTATATATTTCAACCAGAAAAGCAGAGTGACAGCTTGCAAAAACAATACAGAGTGTGGTGATCCTCCCAGAACCTGACAGGAGAGGCAGGATGATCAGCAGTTCAAACACTGGGAGTTTGAGGCCATCCTTAGTTATATATCTCAAGATATGTGATCCTGGTGATTTGAACAAGTCATTTAATTCTGTGCCTTGTTTTCTTGTTTTTCTTTTCTTTTCTTTCTTTTTTTGAGTGAGGGCTACTGTGCATGGCTCCAGAATCTATGCTCTTTGATTGCTATACTGTACTGTGTTTTGAAAAGGCAAGGAAGTAAGGTTAAGTGAATTGATAGGGAATTCAACAAATGGTGTTCGCCAAACTAGATAGCAACATTTAGATGAACAAAACTAGATCCCCATTTCAACTAAAAAAAGAAAAGAAAAAGACGTCATTCTTAACAAAGAAAAAAATAGAAATATAGAAAACTTTTTCTGTTAAGAAGATAGAAGATTTTTATTTGTTATCACTATTGTCACATTTTTCTTCCTTGTACCTCACATATAATTCATTAAAATATACGAACAACTAAGATTGTGATAGCTCAGCCTAATTTGCGATCATTTCAAATTATAAATAGCATGATAGGGTTCCTTTTTTGTTTGCAATTAGGGGGCAGAGAGATGGCCAAGCAGTTAAGTGCACTCTCTGTTTTTGAAGAGGATCTGAGTTTATTTCTGAGCACCCACATGGTGGCTGATAACCATCTATAACTCCGATCCCAGGGAATCCCCTGTCTTCTTCTGGCCTCTGCCATATGGCAAGCACAAGGTGCACATACATATAAATAAAACACTCATACACTTAAAAATAAATATTTATATTTGGAGTTATTACTAAATCCACTTCATTTTTCATCTACAGATATGCTTAAAGGGTAAAGTACACATATTTAAGTACTTAAATATACAAGCATGTTGTAGAATGGATAAGAAACCAGATTCCCTGGATCTTCCATCACTGAGTAAAAGAATGCCTTCCCAGCCTCTCACAGACAGGTAATGTAAATAGTCTTACAGCTTCACTTGATGATTGTCCGCTGTTGTTAGGAAAGAAATTTATCACTCTTGGGTATACTGAATGGATTTTGCCCCTTTAAACCAGTGTTTAAAAAATATATTTGGTTGACCATCATTGGTCATTGAATAATTTCTGGAATACTGAACTAAGTGAGAGATTTTTTTTAGATAGCATTCTTTTAACACAGACAATGTATATGTTTTCCTGACTGTGACAACTGTTAGCCTACTTTTTGACCACTGCTTTAATACTTGTAACAGCAAGTAGAAATTGACTTTGAACTGAAGTTGGTGGAAGAGGAAGACAATTTGGAGGTTCCTTTCTTCCTTTTCTTAATGTTCTTTTCTTTTTCCAATGTTGAGTCTTCAATCTAAACAAGTGCTCTATCACTGAACTACAACTCCAGCCCTTTGTGTATGTGTGTTCTCTTTCATTTTGCATTGCTGGGAGTTGAATGCAGAGCCTGTTGTATTCTAGAGTAGGGCTCTACCATTCAGCTATAACTATCTCCTTGTTTAAAATGATGTATCTTTGAAATTGTTTGATTGTGATGTCCTCTTTATGACATTTTGGTGTGGTGGATATGTTATTCTTTTTAAATTCACCTTCAAGATGTAGATTGGTCTGAAAGTCTTTTTGAAAACATAATTCCATCCAGAAATAAGGAAAATAATTTGGAATGCGGTAAGACTACAGAAAGGGAGACTATGACCACCTAAAAGATTTAAAGGTTTGTCTTTGATTTATATGATAAATTTTGGATTGTTTTGGATGTGGTTGTAGTAAGTACTGTTGTTAACAGTGTAGTCTTGAGTTCCCAAATAGGACTTTCTCATGAACTTTCTCTTGCTTTCATAAAATATTTAAGTATTATATTTAGTTCCTAATGTGCATTTTGTTTAATATTAGTAGTAAAGCATCATTAAAGTTCTATTAAAGTTACAATTAATATCTATGGCAATCTCAATTAATATGCTTTCTATTTTTTGCGTGAGATTACTTTAGTAATGGTGTTAATTGTTTTCAGTTAGTTTTGATATACATAGTTGTTGATACCTACTGTTAGATTCATGGTATAGTTTGTTGAATGCTGTACACGTTTGTTTGGCAACTACTGGAACTCATATTCTAGGTGGAACAAGGAACCATATAAATAAGAGTTCGATCCATTTTTACTGCTATAAAAGAATACCTGAGATGACATCATTTTAAGTAATAGAAATTTTTGTGGCTCACAGTTTTGGAGACTGATTAATTCCAATATACGAGGGGCACATTCAGTGAGGGCCCTGCACCACAACATGTCAAAAGATAACAGATGAGAAAAAGAAAGCAAGAGATGTGAACAGGGTGTGTCACATTTACTCCTGTAACAAATCTATTTCCAGGACAAAAGTAACTCTTACAATCGAGGCTAATCTTTTCAAAGACTAAGCTCTTACCACCCAAACCCCTACAAGATCCCACATGTCAATGCTTTTGCTTTGTGAATTAAGTTTACAACACATTCAGAGCATAACACCCCCCCACACACACACACACACACACACACACACACACACACACACGATGGCTGGCATATGATGGTTCATGTTGCCAATTTTCAAGTTTGTCACGGTGCTTAAGCTACATGCAGTCAGTGGAAACCATACTTCATTTTTGAATTTTCATTTCTTCTGGGGTTGTCAATATATAGTGTGAGGATACGCTTGTGCTGCTGGGCAGTGACAATGAGCTGTTGCTAGACCACAAGGATAGATATGCAATACTCTACAATGGGCTGTGTGTTGCTAAAGTATGATGTTCAAGATGCATGGTAAATGCATTTTTATTTGAAATATTTTTTCAACTTACATTGAGTTTATTGGAACCTTTTTACATGTATTAAAATTTGAAATTGTGTCATGCACTTTCAAAGGAGTATTTCTTGTCATATTCCAAGATTTTGGTTAAGGAGTATCTCTTTGGGAAGCTGAAGACTTTTAGCATTTTGTTTTGTTATTTTTGAGACAAGGTCTTACTGTGGAGTTCTGTCTGGAATTCACTATAGACCAGTACCGTCTGGTACCTCTGTCTATGTCTTCTTCCTGCCTGTCTTCTAAGTTACAGGCTTGGACCACCAGATCTGCCACCATGCATCATGGGAAGGTTAAGTTTTGATTCAAGAACCAAACTAAGAAAATCCAATTGTGTGAACAGGGGTGGGGTGGGGTTGAGAGAATGTCAGGAAGGATGTCGAGTGCTGGTGGCACATGCCTGTAACTCCAGAAGTGAGGAGGCTGAAGCAGGAACATGGAAACTTTCAGATATGCTTGGGCTATATAATAGCAAGTTCTAGGCAACTAGGGTTAAGGTGACACCCTGTCTCAGAGAAAAGAAAGAGAAAAAAAGCCTCAGGTCAGGAAGCTCTTGAGGAATTATAGCACAGTGCTATAATCAAGGACTGTCAGGCTAGGTAAAACCCGAGGTCCATATTTAAAAAAAAAACATGCAAATTAAATAGGTAAATTGCCATGCTTTGCCTACCTGTAAAATAAGAAAACACCAACCATTTTTTAATTAGACATTTAGTTTGAACTATATATGGCATTGTCCTGAAAGCACCAAGCTCAGTACCTGCTACATACTAGGTAGTTAGTTATTGCACACTGTGCAATAAGCTCTTTGCTATCTGGATGGCATAATTTGCAAGTTACAAATGTAGAAGGTCAGCTCAAGTCTCACACAAAACCAGTTCTATATTCAGCATGGTGCAGATGGTGTGTACGTGTGTGTTACCTTTTCTTAATTATTAAGTGGACTAATGTTGGTTAGTCTTCACTCTGAAAGTGATAATAGAGAGAAACAATTGTCTACAATGCAAGTGAGTCTTTTCACTTTCTGTGTGTTTTTTTCCACTTCATAGAGCTTTGAAATGGAGGCACTTGAACACATTTGACATTATACACATTATTTATATCTAACACATGTTTTAACAGCCAACAGGAGGGAAATTGTGTAATGTTAAAAAAAATACCCAAACTGAATAATGTCTTTATCAAAATGATTTTCTGTCAAGGCAGTCTATATTTTTTTCTTTTCATTCCAATTTCTCAGGAGAATTACCCTTATCAACAACCACATAACAGAGAACATAAAAGAAAAATACTGTTTAAATGACATGAGTAAAATATATTACAGGAAAATGTCTGTTATTTCCTCCTTTAAGAATGCTAGACATCAGAAGTATGCATTTAGCATTGTCTAGGGTGTTTTAGCTCAAGTGTGCATTGTGGATTTACAAGCAAAATTCTAACTGCTGTTAGGATTTCTCTTTCTGTAGTATGGAAGATTTTTATCCAAATAAAAATCATGGACCTGACTCTGGAATTGGAAGTGATAATGGAGAGAAGCGATTGTCTACAACGGAAGTGAGTTTCTTCTGTTGCTGATCCGTTCTGTTTTGCTATTTCTTAGAGCTTTAAAAAAAAGAGGCATTTGACCACGTTGGCTTTTAATTTTGCATGCAGCTATAATTTTTGTTATATTTTATGACTTGAAAAGAAAGAGTGTCTACTGATTTTTAAAAGCAGAACATTCATCACAACATGGGGTTTTGGTTGGAAATATGGAGATGGAAATGAGATACTTTGTAATTCCTGTTTAATCAAAGAAGCATAAACTTTGTCATGTATTTCAAATACCTCATTTATACTGTATGCTTGTTCCTTTCAGCCATCAGATGATGACACAATCAGCCTTCACTCTCAAGTCTCAGAATCCAATAGAGAGCAAACATCAAGAAATGACAGTCATGTAATAGGAAGCAAGCCTGATTCTCAGAAAGGTAATTCATGCCATATCTGCTAGTTTTATTTCATGTACACAACCAATATTAATGCTGAGACTTTTATGTAAAGTGGACTTTGAAAATCTACAATATTGTAAGATTTATATTGAGAAAACTAAACTTTTATCTTAATCACTAAAGTATTAGAACATTTACTGTATTTTATAATATTAATCTGAACCTAGACCCAGAAGTGTATGATTTTATTGATCCCAACACAGAAGACGTAGCAGTTCCAGAACAAGGAGATACACATATTGGATCATTTGTCTCTTTCCTTAAGGTAAACAAAACTGAAAAAAATTAATAACATTCACTTCTTTCTGATCATATAAAAGTATACCATGCAATTTAAAATGGTAACTTTCCTTTTTTTATAAGGGGAAAGAAAAGTGCTCTGAAAAATCTCAGAAAAATGAAGAAGTGGGAAATGAAAAAAAGTAAGTATACATCAATTCTCAAAGTGTTACTTATGAAAATTTGCACTATTCATTATATATTCCTACTTGATAACGCTTGAAAGAATGTGTTTCATGTGCCTTTTCCCCCATGTCATGTTTAGGTAGTTAACTTTCAAGTACTTTCAATTCCTTAATTAAATTCATAATTATCATAGATACTTACTTTTCCCCTGCAGTAGCATAATATGTGCATTATTTTGTTACCAAAGAGGAATGTGTCTTCATGAACAGTGTTTTGTTTCAGTTCTTTAACAACCCTTTCGTATAAATGTATCATTTTATCAGTAAGGAAGCTGAGACCTAGAGTTCAGAATTTCTGCAACTTGGGCTCTGTGTCTCTTAACATACTTTGCACTTGCTCAGCTGGTTATGGAAATGTTAAGGTAGTTATTTCCTTGTTTTATTGCAGTAATTGAGATTTCTATCTTTTCTTTATATTTCATCTCATGAAATGATGGAGTCATCCATTTAGGTTGCTTTTATAGCTTTACCAACCACATATTAGGACCAACACTGTGGGATTTTCCGTGTTTATCATTGACTGTAGAACCTTCAGCATGCTAGGCAAGTGTTCTACCACTGAGCTATAGCCTAAGTCGTACTTTTAAATGAATGAGTTTTTAGACAATTCCACACATGCAGATGAGGCATATAGGCATTCTCATCCCCCTTCTCACTATGACCCTTGTTAGCTACGCTTTCCATTAACCAGGGCTGTCTGTTTCAACCAATGGTTTACAAATAACTCTTGGAACCTCCTGTCTCAGCAGTGGATATACAACTAAACACACTGGTTCACCCTCTGCCAGAGTCTATCAATAGCCAGTATTTCAGAATGGATGGGTAGAGCTCCATGAGTTCCTCATTTCCTTGACTTATTGCTGATGGGCCCTGTCTTGTGCAGGCCAAATGAATCTAACTATGTTTCTTTTTGTAAAGTAACTATTGGGGTTGTTAAAGGTTGTATAGAGCAGTAGTTCTCAACATGTGGGTTGTGACCCCTTTGACAAACTTGTCCCCAGTAATATTTACATTACAATTCAGTAGCAAAATTACAGTTGTGAAGTGGCAATGGAAATAATTTTATGGCATGGGCCACCACAACATGTTAAACCATGTTAAAAGGTCATAGCATTAGGCAAGTTGAGAACCACCTCTCTAGAGAATGACATTTCACAGCCCTGCACCCAACATTTGGCTCTTACTTTCTTTTGCATCTTCTATAATGTTCTCAGACATTCTATCTGATTATATATTATATATATATCTATATTATCTATCTATCTTAAAAAGGGTGATAAAATGTCTCTTTTACAGCTACAGCCCTATTTTTACTTTATATTTTGGACAGGGTTTTGCTACATTGCCACGACTAGCCTCAAACTCATTCTACATATAGCCCTGAGCTGCCTTGAACTTGTGATCGGCTAGCCTTAGGCTCCAGTGTAGCTGAGATTACAGATCTGTGGCAGCATTTTGCTATACTCCTTAGATTTCATTTTTCTGTTATTTTCTTACATCATCAAATGAGAAGGGTTGCCTAAGTGTGAGCATCACCAGTGTCTGTAAGATGTGATAATAATGCAATTTTTATTTTTATTATTGGTATTTATGGTTCTTGTTAAATCTTAAACTTTGGAGAATAACTTTAGTCTTTAATGTTAGAATATATTTTAATAATTCTGGAAATTTTGAAAATCTCATTTGAACCTTTTTACCATTCTCCCTATTTAAACTATTTTCTTTGTTTTACAAAGATATTTTAAAAAGCAAAAACAAATAAATTTTTATAAATAGTGTGGCAAAATGAAAAATTTTGGTATTAGTTTTTCTTTATTTCTAAAAATAGGCCATATGGAGGAGCTTTGCAGTCCTTTTTTATTTTTATTTTACATTTTTTATTCATTTTACATGCCAACCACAGTTCCGCTCCCCTCCTTCTACTTTTCCCACCTTCCCTCAACTTCCCCCTTCCCCCAACCCCATCCACTCCTCAGAAATGGTAAGACCTCCCATGGGGAGTCAACAAAGCCAGGCACATCAAGTTGAGGCAGGACCAAGCCCCTCCCCCTGCATCAAGGTTGAGCAAAGCATCCCACCACAGGGAGTGGGCTCTAAAAAACCAGACCATGCACCCGGGATAGATCCTGGTTCCACTGTCAGGGGCCCCACAAAGAGACCAAGCCACACAACTGTCACCCACATGTAGAGGGCCTAGTTCGGTTCCATGCAGTTTCGCTAGCTGTCTTGAGTCCATAAACTGCCATGAGCTCAGGCCGACCGTCGCTGTGGGTTTCCCATCATGATCTTTACCCTCTTGCTCATATAATCCCTCCTCCCTCTCTTCAACTGGACTCCCAGAGCTTGGCCCAGTGCATGGCTGTAGATCTTTGCATCTACTTCCATCAGTTACTGGATGAAGGTTCTATGATGACAATTAGGGAAGTCACCAATCTGATTACAGGGGAAGGCCAGTTCAGGCACCCACTCCACTATTGCTTAGATTCTTAGCTGGGGTCATCCTTGTGGATTCCCAGGAATTTTCCCAGCACCAGGTTTCTCCCTAACCCCATAATGGCTCCCTCTATGATGGTATGTCCATAGATCTCCATCTCTGTCCTTCTCCCAACTCAACCATCCTGTTCTCTCATGTTGTCAGGGCTCAGCACTTAAGAGCACTAGCTGCTCTTCCAGAGGACCCTGGTTCAATTCCCAGCACCTACATGGTAGCTCATAGCTGTCTGTAACTCCAGTTCCAGGGAATCTGACATCCTCACATGGACACACATGCAGGCAAAACACAGATTCCTTTTTTTTAAATACAGATTTTATTTATTTATTACATATACAACATTCTGCTTCCATGTATATCTGCACACCAGAAGAGGGCACCAGATCTCATTATAGATGGTTGTGAGCCACCATGTGGTTGCTGGGAATTGAACTCAGGACCTCTAGAAGAGCAGTCGGCGCTCTTAACCTCTGAGCTATCTCTCCAGCCCACAGATTCCTTTTTTATACTCAGTATTGTTAACTTGTGACCACTATACATTTCAAAATTTTTAATGGGTTATACTTCAGCATCACTTGTTAGCTGTAGTTATATTGAATAGCAAATGCAGATGTATTTTCCTAAACATTCCTTATTTTCCACTTTAATATTTTAAATGTAAAGGTGTAAGGATTTTAGCGCACATGGAATTAAAAATGGCAAGTTTCCATATCCAGATGTTGACAAAGACACTTGGCTTTACTTTTTGAATAACTGTGTTTGTTTCAGACTTGACAAAGTACAGTTACTTCCGGAAGAAGATGATGATGATTTGAAAGAAGTAACTGATTTGAGGAAGATAGCTGCTCAGTTATTGAAGCAAGAACAGAAGAACAGGTATTCTTTTCAGTGATGAGATTTGAACAGGCAAATTTTATAATCAGTAAAAGATTATCAACTCAAGGAAATGAAGTTGCAAGTAAACAATAGGGGCCTTTAAATATACGTGTTCAAGAGGTTAACTGCTAAGAGACAGTAGGAAATACTTAGAATAGAAATAGGAAATTGCATATATAACTAACAAAATGTGTAAAAATTGGCTCTACCTATTTTTGTGGTGCTGGTGATCAAACTCTGGGCTTCATCCATGCTAGGCAAAATCTCTGCCCTTGTGCTACACACCAGCCTTCGTTAATGTACTTAAAATTTCTACTTCTGTGTTAAATTGTATTAACTCTTTTATTTGCCCTTATTCATTTGTAGCTCATAGTAGCATTATTCGCAGTGTAAGCACTTCTTTCTGAGTATGTATTATACTGGTAAAGTTTATTTATTAGATTTTTATCAGAGTCTCAGTTATTTGGGATATACAGTTTCCCTAGAATTGAGGTGAATTATATAATTGTTTCTTAAATCAGCATGAAGATCTGAGTATCCCAAGTTCACAAGTGTCTGTTTCTGGGATAAACACCCCCCCATTCAGCTTTCTCTAAATGCATGTCTTTGCCACATGACATGAGCATGAGTATAGAATCAAGTTAAGTCCATTTAAATTTTTTGGTGTGTGGAATGTAAGAATGTGTGTGTGTGTGTGTGTGTGTGTAGCCATGGGTGTACTCATGGGTCAGGTGTCTTCCTCATTTGATTTTCACAATGAATTTGAAACACAGTCTCCCACTAAACCTAGAACTCACTAATTGACTAGAGTTGAACTCACTAATTGCTGACTGTTGAGCCTCCAGGAACTACCCTCACCAGACCTGGTTTTCAGATGCATGCAGATATCCTTGGATTTCAATTCGGGTGCTGAGAAATCTGAATACAAGTCCTTATGCTTGTATAGAAGACACTTTGCCCACTGAGCCCAAAGCCCATTTTTAGTAAAAGAAATGGACCATGTGCTACTCTCACTATTTTTATCTCTGAGGAGAGTCTTATATTTATAATTTTGAAATAGACTGAATGTTTTTTTCTTTTTCATGAAAAAATTAATAAGATAATTTTAGTATATTAGGATGAATAAGTAGTATTTCATTTCACTTATTCAAAATAAATATTCAAGATTAACATGGTGATCATGTCTTGAGAAGTTTCATATTTAATTATATTAGCATTTGTTTTAAAAATATCATTAAAACTTAGCATCTGGCAGCTGGATTTATGGATGGTTCAGGGGTTAGGAGCACTTTTTGCTTTTCCAGAGGATGGAGGTTTTCCCCAGAACCAAAAGTGGTTGGCTCCTGTAACTCTACCTCCAGAGTATCTGACACCCTTTTCTGGCCTCCACAGGAACCTACACATATGTGACACACACTCAAATGTACACATACACATACTTTAAAAATTGCTTCGCATTTGGGTATGGTAGTGCTTGCCTCCAATTCCAGATCTTAGGAGGCTGAGGTCATGAGATGATAGCCGCCGGTCTGGGCTGTGTAAAACTAAGTCTCATGTCACAAAACCAAGTCTGAAAAAGACCGAGCAAAAGACTTCCAGGTGTCTAACTCAGTGAGGGAACTATTGCCCAGCATGTATGAGGACCTGCCTGGGTTGCATTTCCAGTAACACAAAACAAAACACAAACAGTGCTGGTGAGATGACTCAGTGCATAAAGGTGCTTGCTGACAAGTCTGACAGCTTGAGTTTGATCTCTGGAACCCATATGGTAGAAGAAGAGAAGCAACTCCCACAAGGTGTCTTCTGAGTTTCACACAAAAGCTGAGGCATGCAAGTGTATAAACACAGGCGTGCACACACAAAATAAATACGTATGTAAAGCCAAAAAGACAAAACAAGCAAGCTTATCAAATGAGGAGTATAGGATCTGCTTTAAGGGACAAACTGGCCAATGGCTAATATGATAAATAGCTATCTAATACCAATTTTTGCACAGCTACTACAGTTTCTCTTAAAAATATCATACTAGAAAATATCACTTATCTGTCTGTATAATTTCTTTATCAAATCAATTCTCATTCTCTATTTCCTTTTTCTCTGGTATCACTGTTTTATGTCAATGTTTCCATGTTACTTATTACTTAATATCTTCCAGCACTTAATTTCTATGCCATTTTATAATAATTTAATTTTTGAGATTATAATGTGATTATATAATTTCCCCCTTCATCTTTCTTCCTCCATACTATCCTACATAACTCTGCATTTTACTCTTTCAAATTCATGGACTTTTAAAAAATTGTTGTCATATGTGTATATGTATGCTTATATGTATGTTTTACATATGTATTATATATAAATATATATGTAGATACACATATATATTCCTAAATACATATATACAACCAGCTCCTCAGTCTATAAAACTTGTATGCATGTTTTGAGGGCTGACCACTTGATATTGGATAACCGATTGGTATACTCTCTCTAATATGCCTTTTTCAAACTGGTTACAGTAAGGTTATATATAATCTACATGTTTATTTCCTGTTGAGGCTTAACTTCATGATGCATACTAGCACCAGCTCTTGGAAGTTAAAAAATTCTTGAGTTTATGTTTCCTTTATTTATCAAAGTTATATTTATTTTTCATTATGAAAAGAGAATATTTTTAAGACTCTACAATAATATCCATTTTCTATTTGAGAGTTTAATTTTAGACTCAACCTTGCCATACATATTTTTTTCTTTATTGCCATCTCTACTATTATTATATTAATTTTGTCTATCTATGTTTCTTAAATTATTCTTTGTAGTTTAGATTGTGTCACCTGAATAGGTCAACTCTTACAGGGTTTGCTTTGGCAATACCACTGTAACTAGTACAAAATGGTGACCAGCATTGTGTCTTCTACATAGTAACACAGAGGACCCAGTGTTATACTATCATTTGTTAATTGAATTCTTGAAACACGTCAAATTTAAAGTCAATGGAAGTCAGCAGTTCAGCTGAAATTTTTATATTCTCCATAAAATATTTATTTTATTCTTCAAGATATATACAATGCTAATTTTGCCTTATCTGATTTTCTTATGTGTTACCAGATAATAATACAAGAACTATTTAGGTTAAGTATTACTATGTACTGACTTGTCTAATTTTGAACGCATTAAGTATGTTTGAGGCACTCATTCTTTTATTCTTCATTATAAGGAAAATAGCCAGAATTGTAGTCTTTAAAAAAATGGTAATCTTTTCCCATAATACAAAATGTAACTCTTACCTGCTTCTTACAGGAGAAAGTAGCAGGTAAGAGTTTTTTGGGGGGTGGGTGGGTGAGACAGGGTTTCTCTGTGGCTTTGGAGGCTGTCCTGGAATTCACTCTGTAGACTAGGCTGGCCTCGAACTCACAGAGATCTGTCTGCCTCTGCCTCCTGAGTGCTGGAATTAAAGTTATGCACCACCAACGCCCGGCTTAAAAAAAAGTCATTTAAAATAAATTCACATAGTTCTACAGAGAAGATGTAGAATCTTTGTGTTAAGTTTTAGTACAATTATTATAGTTTTTGTGTTTCTTTTGTTTATTGCTATTCCCCTTTAAAAATAATTAAATAGTATAAGATTAATCCCAAGTACCAGAAAATGCTCCCGCACTCCTACCTCGACTATATACTAAACTGCTCTTTTGCTATTATTGTTTGAAAATAAACCTATTTTTAGGTCTAGTCTAAAAGAAGTGATGATTATACTCTCAAATGAGGGTTGACTGGAGCAGTGCCCATGTTGAATTCAGTGATGACTTTTTGTCAGCTGTTTTGCCACTTGTTTAGCTTTTATTTTGCTACTGAGTAAGATCTTTGATTTGTTAAGGAAGTTCCTAATTTGATTTGGTGAATGATATTGTCCTAGGAAAGTAACAGGACAAAATTATTGACCAAAAGCATTGGGGAAAGTGGTCAGTGGATAAAGCACAGTGTAGCTAACTCACAAGGCTTCGGGTTATGAAGACAAGTTGCTTATAACGCAGCCCTCATTTCTCTGATGTACAGGGTACGCTTTTGTGAAGCTAACACAGTGCTGAGTGTCTGCTTTGTAACTCCATGGGGGCAGTGCTTAGAGGATATCTTGAGCCCAGGGGTTGTGGGACATATCCCTATGGAGAATGAGGCTGAAAGGATAGAAACTCGCACTCCCCAGGGAAAAATTCAAATGAAAAGAATATTTTTAAAAATTAGTATCTTAAAAGTAATTTTGTGAGATGAAACAATTTTGTAGATTTCTATTTGTAACATTGTACCTGTAGTTAACCATGAATATCACACTTGAATATGAGTCCAGAGTAGATCTCATGTAAATTTTTAATTTACATTTTGTTTTATAGTTTGGAGGTCAATCTCAGACCTTATGTATACTAATAGACATTTTAACTACAATGAAATTAAATTTAGAACAAAAGGTATGTTTTTCTGATTTAGGAAGAAACTTGAAAAAGGAGCTGAGAATAAAATGCTAGTATTAGAATATTTTTTGTATGTGTAGTATGACTTAAAATAACAATAAGCTTAATGTTGACTTGAGAAAAATGAGAGAAATTCTGCTAAAAACATTTTAATGTTACTTTATAAATTATTGATCAATTTCCCCACATTTTGAATCAGTCCTACTAATATATGTTAGCATTAGAAAAATGATTTCTATGCCTTGCCTTTTACTGATTTATGCATCATGATAAGTGGATGTTTAGCTAGCTTCTTAATATTTGGTTATTAGCCTAAAGTAAAGATTATTGCATATGTGGACTTTACAATAGTTTTAGCTAACTGACTTCAATTAAATATTTACTCTATCCTATTTTGATATGTCTTATGTTTTCATAAGTGTTTTATTTGCTTTTAGATATGTTCTGAGAGCTTTTTTTTATTGTAGATGAATGTGCTTCTGAATACTGTGTGACATAGTTAGCTAACAACAACAACAACAACAACAACAAACGTTTGTTAACGTTTAAATAACTGAAGTGTAACTAACTGTCAAAGAAACTTCAAACATGTTTTGAGAAGTTTATGGATTGGGTTTAGTATTATAAAATGTATTATGACATGTTTCTTGTGAGTTTTATCTAATTAATCAGTATTTCAGTTTGAGGAGCATTGTGTTAACTTTTAGTTTGTTATAACTACTTGGATAGTTCTTTTGTAACCCTTAAAACCTAGCCATTCTTTCTTTTCTGTTTCCTTTACTAATGACTTCCTTGTCTTCTCCAAATACATCTCCCTCTCCCATCTTTTGATTTGGTTGATATATGTGAAATGTGAATATAGATGGAGGCCTTTAAGTTATAGAACATCATTCAGTGACAAACTCTTCCAGAGGACCAGAGCAGCAGGACGGAAATCAAGGTATCTAGAGTTGGTGGAAGCCATAAGTATTAAGGGGCCAGGCTTATGTAGCTGAACTGTGTTAGCATTTTGCTTAAAATAAGTACTGGGAATGGTGTTAGGGAAGCCTATTAATAATCTCAAACAGACATGTAGATAAAATAGATTTTAGTTTTTCTTTATCACGGAGTAAAAAAAAATAAAGTATCAATGTATATTCTAGAATTCGATATAGTTGGATTTTCAAATACATAATACATATTTTACATGTAAGGTGGCTTCAACTATTTTTCTTTCTACTATAGTATGAGACATATATCATACTAGTAAGTGTGGTGTGGAGAGTCGTCATTTTTATCATGGCGAAGGTCATAAAAGCTTGACCATTTACCCCTAACAACAATTCTCACTTTTCTTCCTGAGTAGTACTTACTGTCATTTCTCTCTCTTTTATTTTTTAAAATCTCCTTTTAAAGTCTATTTTTCTTTGATATTTCATTACCATAAGTTTGTATTTTGGGATCTAAGGAAATTTTAGCACATGTACATAGGAAAAAAATTTAAATGTACTTAATTCTGTGATTGTTTGGCCCAGAAATGCAGTGATTTGTGTCAATACTTGACCTATTGACATCACTGCGTCTACTTAGTGAGGTTATGCTCAGAGCCAAGCTAGTGAGGAAAAACCTGGCATCAACTGACTGTTCTATATTCACCATAGAGCTCTATTGCCAATGTGTATTTAGTTCATATGCAACTCTTTTCAGTTCTTTTCTATAGTCTTTACATTAGTGATGTCTAAATAATTCTTTTAAAAAGTAGATATTTTATTCATTGTAGCACTATTTGTAAAATTAAGTTACATTTATATGTATAATAATGATTTTTGAATATGTACAATTCTCTATTTTAATGAAAGATAGTTCCTAAATTACCACTTCTGACATTGAGATTAATACTTAGAATTAGATGAAGCCATGAACAAATAGTTTTCTTTTATAAGGAGTCATTATTTTTGTTTATTTTTGTTCTACTACTCTTTCCTATTCAAGGTATAAGAATTTTGTATTTTTTTTGAAAAAGAATTGACCTTTAACACTGATTTTTGCATTTACAATTAAAGTATATTATTTGGTTTTTGACAAAATGATTATGAAGCACCAACATAAGTCTTGTCATTTTCTGTCCTGAGAAAAAGGAAATGACTCAAAACGGTGCCTAAAATATTTCATTATGTTCGGCGTAAATCAGAATTAGATATACACAGAGTAATCATGCAATGGCTAGAAAATATCCATACTTGGAGAATTGTTTCTAAAACAAGATGCAAGACATGTTTTGTGAACTTCATTTATAAATGATGTGCTGATGGGCACCTAAGTCTAAATAGTACTGAAATATTTTCTAGCAAACATCTTCATGACCTAGATGCAGTTTATTTAGGACATATATATCATATATGTGCAATGTTCTCTTCAGTATAGTTTGTAATTAATGTATTGATTTACTTCTAGGATTCTTAATCATTCAACTTCTGTCATGAGAAATAAGCTGAAACAAACTGTGGAATATGAAAAGAGGTATAAACATATCATAGTCCTTATATTTGGTATTGTAAAATGAGACATGATACTCTTATAGTAATTTTCCTCAAAAGGTGTTAACTGGATATGTGATGCAGGTGTCATATAAGTAGATAATTTAAAGATCAAATATGTCACAACATGGGTTCAAATGAGTTTTCTATAAACAAATGTCCTGATTCTGATTCTTTTTGTTTATACTTGTTGTTTGTCTTGATTCATTCACAAATGTTTATGTCATTCATATTATGACCAGGAATAATGTATTTCTTCATCACTAGTTATGGTCATACTTTGTTATTGTTTGCATTTTAATTTCTTTGATTGGGTTTTACTAAACTATTTGTTTAATGACCTAGGTTTACCGACATGAATTTCAGAGAAATAGAAGATCTGAAATTTTCTATTTATTGTTCCCCTTGGTTTCAAATTTATGTTTTACCCAACTCCTGGGTGAAACCCTTGGGTAGTCTAAATTTTCGAGATATGGGTACAGAGGCATACACTGAATGATCCTTTGTCAGATGCTGAATATGTGTGCACTGTTCTTAGCTCTGTAAAGGACTGTCTTATTCAACCATCACAATAAAATTGGGAAGTTGTTAGTGTTGCTGTCCTCATTTTACACACTAGCAAACTGAAACTCAGAAATTATCATAGCTAGCTCAAGATCACATTGTAAGTGGATTTATTACAGTCATGATTTAAACTCAGATTCATCTTATCGGAGAACCTAAAGTCTTAATGTACAGTAGCAATAAGCTTACTTCAGATCCTCACATCTCACTGGATATATTCCGTAGATAGTGCAGATTTGTGTCTCCAAATGCACCTCTTCTCCTGTATCCTGTACACCAGTGAATTTGCCAACTCCTTATGTAGTTCCCCAAGTCAGCAACGTTGGAAGCACCTCACTGTTTCTTTATAGTCAACCATGCAAAATTAATATCATCTTAAGCCACTTTCCGTCGTCTCTGTTACTATTTTAGCTGTGTTGGTTTAGCTCCCATTGTTTTCCATCTGAGTTACTGTGTTGGTCTCCACACACAACTCCTTTATTTTCTATTTTATTAAAGAATAGAGGTTGTAAAACTTAAATATGACAGGGCAACCACTGTTTCTCATCTTCTAATGGGTGTTTTTACCTTTTATGATAAAGGGTAAAATGTTGAGATTAACCATAAAGTTGAAATGGGCTTCAATCTCAGATCAGAGCCTCATCTTTGCACTCTCTAGAGTGACAGCCTTTCAGTTTAGGGGCATAATTCTTTCCTATTTCTATATCGTTTCACATTGCCCACGTTTCTTCTTTTCTTTGCATGATCTCTTAGAATTCAGCTCAGTTCTGCATGGTCATGGTGAGGGCTTCATTGTAGACAGCATCATAGTGGAGGGAGCATGTATAGAAGAGTTCACATAGTAAGAGACAAAGGCAGAGAGATTTCATAATTAAGTTCACTTTTAGTTTTTTTATGTAATGCATCAGAACAACTGGAGCTTCTAGAGAACTCCATTAATCTCTTCCAATGACAGGCTCTCTAATGACCATGTTGTATTGTACTCAGCTCTACTCCTATAGATTTCACCATGTCTACCCTCTGAGCTTCAAGCTCTTAAATATGAACCTTGTGGGGAACACACTGCTTTCAAGGTGTAGCATACCCTTTTCTGTATGTGCATGTGAATATTTGCATTTGTATATATATGTAAGAGTGTGTGTCAGTATATACAACAGTTTTTTATATATAGGACTGTGCATTGATGCATACCACAGTGTTTATATTGTTTACATGCAAGTGTGCATCAATATATATTCCAGTGATGCTTTGTATGCAAGTTGTATGTATATGACAGTGTTTATATTGTACATTGGTCTCCACCACAGAGTGGTGGAATTTGTTGTTCACTTGCCATTTAGATGTAGAGTAGGAATGGCTGATTTCCAGAAATCCTCCTAGTACTCAATTTTGCTGCACAGTCAAACGTACTTCTTCTGGATTTTTACCCATTTCAGAAAGTGCTTGAACTCCATTCTTATTGCACAACAGCTGAAGAAGCTTCATCCTCAGTTTGTCATTCTCTCTCAAACCCCACAGCTAATCCATTACCAAAGCATGTCAATTAGTGGGGATATTTCCAGAACCCGATCACATCTTGCCAACTCCACTTCTGCCACCCTTGCCCTCTACACGCCCAGCTGTGCACAGGCATAAGTTGGCAAATACGGATTTCCCCCAAGAGTTTAGCTGGATAATACAGTTTTGCCTTATTGTACAGGAACTCAAAATTATTGTAGGTCAAGTCAGTCTATACTCCTTTGTTCCTGAAAAATTAAGAATATACTTGAATAAAAACTATCCAAGTTTTGATAGCCAGTAGGAGAGTAGAACGATAGTCCATTGTTTGGAGAGGTCTCCCTGTGTAGTTCAATGCGGGGGGAGGGGGTTACAGATTTTTAGGTGGCTCATCCAGGGAGGTGATGTGCACAGTATGGTGTGGGAAAGTGAAAGAGCTGGACTGACAAGCACTTTATTAGAAGAGTTGTGCGTGTTCTTTCTCTCTCTCTCCCGTGTGTGTGTGTGTGTGTGTGTGTGTGTGTGTGTGTGTGTGTATAACCAAACCAGACTAAATTCCCAGTTGTTATTCTGTGCTTACCTACTTCGTTATTATACTATCCTCTGTATTATATATGCCCCTTTTTCTTTGACTCCTCAATTCTTTTTCACTTCTAAATGTAGGGACCGTCTGGATGCTGCCTGGATTCTTTCTCCCTGGTCTTTGACATGGAAATGCTCTCCATGTAGCAACATGGGCTAAACATGACATTCATCTTTCATTACCCATTCCTAGGATTCTTTATTTACATTTGAAAGAAATTTATTTAATTGATAGATTTCCATATTTGATAAGAGATTAGGAATCTAGGCTTTTTGCCTTCCTCTTTACCCTTCCTCCTCTTTCTTACTCATCCCTTTCTGCTTTCCTTCCTTCCTTCCTTCCTTCCTTCCTTCCTTCCTTCCTTCTTTCTTTCTTTCTTTCTTTCTTTCTTTCTTTCTTTCTTTCTTTCTTTCTTTCTTTCTTTCTTTCTGTATTTTGCAAGAAGCCATTCAGTTGTTCATATATTACTTGTTACATAATCTCCAATTTCTATCCCTTTAAATGCCATTTGTACCATAAGTTGCTGTACTGAAAATTTTGTACTCTGTATTACATTAAAAAAATCTATAAATTCTGGGATTTTGTTACTGTATTTTCATATTTATAGATATTTTATCACTTCCTAGGGATAGGGATGTCCCTTGTATGCTAAAATTTTTTATTATTTTCTCTCTTCTTATTCTTCCTTCTCCTGTTCCTCCTATCCATTCTCTTTCTGTCTGTTTGAAACAAGTTCTGTTCTGTGGCCCAGGCTGACCTTTACCTTAACCGTGTATCCAATCAGGTCTCCAACTCATGGTGATACCTCAGCCTTGTGAGTGCTGAGAGGAGCAACATGAGCCGCCACACTCGGCTTGACCCCCCCCCCCTCTCATTTAGAGTTTTAAACTTTTTTGACTGTGTTTCTGTTTGTGTGTGTGTGTCTGTGTGAGTGTATGCCACATGTGTGTGGGTGCCCATGGATGCCAGAAAGAGCATGTTGGATCCCTTGGAGCTAGAAGCATGTGTCAGTCTCGAACTCAGGTCCTTTGTAGCCCCTGTTACGTCACAACTGAAGCTCATAATCAGTAATTCAATAGGAAATAACACATTTGTCTTCTGAATTGTTTGGCACTTAGATGAAGGAATTTATGTATTATTTATTTGTTTTTGTGTGTGTGTGTGTGTGTGTGTGTGTGTGTGTGTGTGTGTGTGTGTGTGTGTGCATGCATAAGCATGCACGTGTGTGCCATGGCCCAGGTGTGGATGTCAGAGGACAACTTTCAAGGCTTCAGGGGTTTGGTTCTCTCCTTCTACTATGTGACTCTCACGGATGTAACTCAGGTTGCAGGCTTGTTGGCAAGCTAGAACCTTTACATGTTCACTCACCTCACTGATACTGTTACTTGATTTAAAAAAAAAGGGTAACTTGCTTTCTATAATATTCTGTTTATTCTCTGTTTATTTTTACATGTTATACTCCTTTTGGCCCCTACAAAATACGAAATGGTTAATAGAAAATAAACCCGTTCTGGTATTTCTGGTGGAGCAATAGTTAGTAGGCACTCACTATTAGTTGGTTTCATAAAATTTAATTTATATAATATTAGTAGACCATGTGGTGCTTAATACCTGCCATTGCAGTCCTTGGAAGGCTTGCTACAGTAGTGAGTACCACACCATCCAGAACTGCATAGCAAGACCCAGTCTCGACAGAACACAACACAACATAACACAAAACAACACAACAAAAAGAAACATATAGGTTTGGATAGTCTTTACATTGCTGCCTTAAATCAGTGAAAAGAGAAATTTGTCATCTTTAAAGTATGTTAAAGGATTTAAAAACACCTTAATAAATATTAAAGCATTTTTAATTTTTTAGTGTTTCAGCAGATGAAGGGAATTCACCATTATCACCCCTTGCATGGCAGGTAAGAGGAAATAAAATTAATAACATATGTACTATTTTGTTGTCATTTGTTCAGTTAAAAGAATAACTTTTCTCATTAAAGCCATTAGAAAATCAGAAGGATCAAATAGAACAACAGTGGCCAGAATCTCAGCCTATAATCTGGCAAAATGAAGAAAGGAGACGGAGCAAGCAGATCAGAAAAGAATATTTCAAGGTACCTTATTAAATTTGACATTTTGTTTTATATCCATTACTTTTTATTCTTAACAGTTTTTGTTTTAAATTAATAACATATGACTCTCCAGTGAAATGTCACAGCTGTGTCCATGTTGATTGCCCTCAGGTGTAGGATAACCAATGATATGCTATGTAAGTATAGCCACAAAAATTTCAGTAGTTCAAATTAATTAAGAATACATCAGTGTACATCATGATTTTTCAAATAGTTAAAAGATTAGTGTTTGCGTGTTATACTGTAAACTGTGACAATTAATTCTGTGGGTTTTTTTTTGTCTTTGAGGTAGGTTTACACTATGTAGCCCAGGTTAGCCTCAAATCACTATCCCCGCACCTAATGTCTCCCATATGCTGGGATTGCAGAAGTGAATGACCAGGCCTGGTTCTGAAAAAGATTTTCATTGAATTTATTTCAATAAATAGTTCAGAACTGTTTTCAGTTAGCATTTAACCACCTCTATGTAAATAAATAATTGAAGACTGGTCCAATTTCTTGTTATATTAGTAGATTTTTTTCTTTTCTTTTTTTTCTAGTTTTTTTTTTTTTGAGGCAGGGTCTCACTATGTAGGTTTGGCTGTTCAGTCCAAACTTGACCTTACATCTTGAAGAGCAAGCCGAGTTGTTCGATGCTTTCCCCACACTTCTACTCGTCAAATAACAATCATTTTTCTCTACATATGCAGTGCTCAGGTTACACATTATTTCAAGTTCATGACAGTAATAAGTAGGATTTAGTTTTTCATTTTGTGTTTGGCAGAAACTGATCTCTCAACCTATAGTTTTCTCTTTCCATATATTGGAAAGCAACATGTGTTTGAAAGTGGCATATGATCAAAATAGAAATTCTGTATGTCTTAGCAAAATAGAATTCTGTATGTTTCCTTAACCTTTGAACAAATAATTACTATGTATAACCACTGGATTTTGAGATAATTGGACAATATGAAAAAGCACATAGGAAGGAAAAGGGCAGGGTACTCCCATAAGACTCTTCCATCAGAACCCTTTGCAGCTCTGCAGTTCAGTTTATATGCTGGCATTTATCTTAGTTTCCCTTTTTAAGTCATGTGAACTTAAACCAAAGCACTGAAGAAAAATATGTTCATAGGTGAATCTTGTGAATGACTTATAATGTAGTATTTCTAAGCAACTTGATATTTCTTTGATTTCCTTTATTCCCATATAATATAACCATATTGATTATATTTACCAAAACACTTGTATTGGAATTATTTAGTGCCAGACATGGTCATAAACCTTTACAAATATTATTATCCCATTTAGTCTTCAGGAAACGTCAATAATGTAAATGCCATTATCATTTCTATTTTACATACAGGGATATTAAGACCCAGGAAGTCAAGTAGTGTGCTAATCATATAGTTGAGATTAGAGTTCAGTGCCTTTACAATGTTGCTTTTTTGTGTTGTGGATAGCTTGATATAAAATGGACAAGCACTAACATTAATATAGTTTCATTTTTTAAAAATATTTTGCAATAAATCAAGTGAAGTTAATGGAGGTGTTAGTGAGTCCTTATCATAGTCAACTGTTCCTTGGTTTAAAAGCATCATTTGTTCACTCAGTGTTTTAGTCTTTATGGCTTGTATGATTATTCTACTCTATCGATTATATTATAAAATTGCTAAATGATAAAACAAGACAGTATATGAAATGACCATTATATAACCATCACTCTGTAAATGTTCATTTCTTTCATACATGATAAAGTGAGTGTAAACCTAGTCTTCAGTCACAGGGAAATGTTTTAAGGACATGTGTAGTTCTTCTTAATTGTCAGAAGATGTCAGTGTTAGGACAGTGTATAAAAATTGGGTATAAAGTTATTGCTATGATGTCAGGACAATGTAAAATTGTATAGGACCGTGGTGTAGCACATTGATAACCACACTTGCTTAGTATGCTCAAGGCTGTTGTGCATCATTGCAAAAAGAAAAATATAGAAATGGAACTAATGGTACATTAGTCACAGCTCTGAAATATAGTAGAGGAATATATCTCATATCTGTAGTTCCTAATACAGCTCAGTTTGTGACTGACATACTAAGCAAGTTATTTCCAAGTGATATGGAAGACAGAATCACATAAAGGGGACGATTAAATAGAACCCTGAAGATCAGACAAAAATGTTTGGGACATGATTTGAGAACTAGTCCTTTTTAAAATAGAACTTCTATGAACACCTGTTTGGTTATACTGATTTGTAGAAGAATTCAATGCATTTTGGCAAGGAATCCAAAAATAAGTATTTTAATGATTGTCACACTATATTCTCTTGATTCTAAGAATCATTTTGTCACACATTCAAATTCTTTTTGTTGAACATGTTATCTGTATATGTCACTATAAAATTGGGTTAATAATATTTATGATGTTGTTATAAATATTAATGCACTTCATATAATGCACCTCAGTCATTACTACTGTGTTTTGCAAGTGATAGTTCTAAATGTTAGCTCTTAGCACTATTGCTATTTTTATGTAGTTGACATATACATTTAATGTAGTCTCTTTAATGCTGAAATCAGTAGATCACTTCTTTGTGGTGCTGAGGGTTGAATCCAGAGTTTCGTAGGTGGTGGGAAAGTATGCTATCACTGAAACACATTTCCAGCCCTGCTTTGTAAAACAATTGCTACTGTCTTAGTATAGTGAAATTCCAAACCATGTGAGAGATGCTAAGATCTCTGGAAAGGGTGGTGGTTCTAAGGATTCAGAAGAAGTAAGTCTAGGAGAGTTTTCTAAAAAAAAAAAAAAAAAGTTGACTTGAAGACTTATTGAATGCAGTCAACTAAGAAAAAGGAAGACTCTTTTTTTGTTTTGTTTTGTTTTTCAAGACAGGGTTTTCTCTGTGTTGCTTTGTAGCCTATCCTGGCACTCGCTCTGGAGACCAGGCTGGCCTCGAACTCACAGAGATCCGCCTGCCTCTGCCTCCTGAGTGCTGGGATTAAAGGCGTGCGCCACCACACCTGGCAAAAGTAAGACTTTTAAGATGGTAAGAAAAGTTCTCGACTTTTCTAATGTTGTGTCCCTTCAATAAAGTTCATGTTGTGTAACCCACAACTATAAAATTATTTTCATTCCTCCTTCATAGCTGTAATTTTCCTACTGTTAGGAATTACAATATAAATATCTGATACACATGCTATCTGTATATGTGGCCCCTGAGAAAGGGTCGTTGCAACCCACAGGTTGGGAACCACTGTTTCAGACTGCAAACCTGAAAGAATGGGAAATGGGTCTGGCTTAGGAAGGAAATGTTATTTGACGTATTTAGAGGGTTTGGAATAGTGTTCCTCACAGCATTGTATGTGTGACTAGGAGGCTTGTTTAAACTGTGTGCTTAAGTTTAATATCAGACAATTTAATAAATGTCCCAACATAGTAATAAGGCTCACATGTAATTTTGAACAAAAAATCGCACGTTAAAGGAAAAATAAAGTATGAACTTAAAATGTTTTTCAGTATAAATCAACAAGGAAGAATTCAAGTGGCAACGAAAATGAGGAGGTGAGACAAAGGGTGATATTGATTTGAATTCTTTACTTTGATATTTAGTTGGCTTAGTGAGACTTAATGCAGTCCTACTGTCAATTTCTTTGTTATTGAGCACGAGTTTCCTACAATAACGAAAACTTCTGATGATTGCCATATAGTTACTAATTTAATCATTTCTTTTCTAGCATTTTCTAGAACACAATTTCTAGTAGTTCTAGAGGTTTACCGTTTGTCATGGATCTGTAGCTTATATTTGTTATCATTTCCCACTTTTACTTTCCCAAACAGCATGGCAGTCAGTTGAGATTTTATATTTTTCAAAAACGTCTTACCATTGTGTGCATGTGTGTGCATGATGTGTGTGCACAGGTGTGGTTGTATATGTTCCAGGGTGTGCATGTGGAGGTCAGAGAACAGATTTTAGGAGTCTGTTCTCTTTTCGTCTGAAATATAGATACTGAACTTGAACTCAAGGGGTCAGATTTTTGGGGAAAATACTTCACTGTTGAGAGATGGTATCCATCCAAGAATTTTAAGGAACTTTCTTCACAAATCCTGTTTAGGGTTTTAAAATTTAAAATCGTACTTACAGTTTACTGTAAATGTTTCTGTTGCTCCAGGCTAAGCAACACAGCAGCCCACCCCTACTGAAACACTTCATCACTGCAATCCCCAAGTTTTGTTTGTATATGGTTGGGGAAACTGGTAGTGACAGGGCATTCCCAAAACAAATTTATTTCTTGGAAATATAATTACACTGGGCAAAGTAAGCATTGGCCTAAGCCAAATGCTGTTGTCTTTCCCTGTCCTATCAAATAGTATTTACAGAGACCTCCTCACCCCCAAAAGACAATTGTTTCCACAGCTTTCCTGTCATGTCCTTGTTAGTACCTGTGGAAAATCGTGAAAGCAATTTTGTGCAGGTATGTTTGCTAGTATTTTTCTGTTCATGGCTGCAGTCCATTCCTATGTACCTGCTGGTAGCTTTCAGTTACACTTTGCAATATCTGTTTGATGCTTAAATTTTATTCATCCTGTATCATGACCTACTGTATGGTCTCTAAAGTGCTCAGAGTTTTGGTAAGTAGTCCCAATGTACCGGATGATAGCTCTTAGTTTATGTCTATAGTCCATACTTCACCATTGAGCTTTAGGCTTTTGTAGTAATGTGTCCTCCTCTTAGCTGCTTGGAATCTTTTGTTCATCTATGATTCAGCAGTGCATGTTTTTTCCACACTTCAAACACATTTCATTTCTCAACTGATGAAGTGCCTTTTGAAACCTAGGTTGCACATTGAAAACTCAGGCTATCTGGATTTTATTCACAGAGATTCAGATTTAATTTGTGTGTGTGTGTGTGTGTGTGTGTGTGTGTGTGTGTGTGTTATGACATGGTTGAGAGTTTTCCATTTGAGTTTACTGTGCAGGCAAAGCTGATAACTTCTTCATGAAATCACCATCTCCCTTCTAGGCAAACCTATGTTTGTAAGTAATGATTAAATACAAAAGAGCCGCAAACATTCACCTACGCATGCTTTTGCATTCTGATGGCAAAGTTACTGCCGAGACCATGTGGTCCACAAAAACCTGAAATGCTTACAATCTAGCCTTTAACAGAAAACATTCTTTGAACTCCCAATTAGAGGTTCTCCTTGTCTGTCCACTCTGCCTCCTCATAGCCACTTTCCTCCCACCTGTTTCAAAGTCTAACCCATTAAGAAAGCCCACTAATTCACTTGTTTACTTTTGGGCACTGAATTATTTTGTCTACACCATGTTCTTTTGCATCCTGGCTTCTCTGGCATAGGTCTTCAGTCTTTCTTGCTGGGACTACTACAGTAGCTTTCTTACTTTTCTGTATTTATATTATCTCTCTCTGTGTCAATCTGTCTGCCTGCCTGCCTGTCTATTGTCTGTCTGTCTGTCTGTCTGTCTGTCTGTCTGTCTGTCTGTCTATCTATCTATCTATCTATCTATCTATCTATCTATCATCTGTCTATCTAGTGTGGGTTGCCACACACATGCACCCATTCGGGTGCATCCTTTGTCCAATTTCATTGTCTTCCTCACTTCTTTCAACCTCATTTTTTGAAACAGTCTCTTACTGAATCTGCAGCCTACAGCTGGGCTTGCTGATCTGTGAGCTCAAAGGATCCACCTCTCTCTGCCTTCTCATTGCTAGCATCACAGAGGCATGCCATCCGGTTTGTCATTGTATGTGGATCCTGGGTGTCCCAATTCAGGTCCCTATGCTTACACCACAAGCATTTTACCAACTGAAATGTCTCCCCCACTCCTCTTCTCTTTCGTCCATTTTCCCCACTGCTTTCAGAATTCAAGTACAATAAGGCTATTCCCTTTGCTTAGAAACCTTGAGTTTCACACCGTGCCTTAAAAGGTAAATTTCGCAGTCCTTTTTTTGACCAAGGCCCTGGTAGCCATATCAGCATAAGCTCACAACTTGCCCTCCTTTAATTTGTTTTACCCTTTAGAATTCAGAATTGCTTTACAGTCATCTATTTTCCCCTAAATTTATTGCTTCTGTGTCTTTGTTCTTCTCTTTTCACTTTACTTGGACTTTACTGTCATTTTCCTTTCTCAAGGAAATTCTGTGTTTTCCCACTGCCCCTTTCTTTTCTCTGCAGTGTCTTTGTGATCTCTACTATGCCACAGTAGACTGGGAATGTTACATTAACTGTACACATGAATCTGTCTCCCCTCTAGACTGAGACATCTTTAAGGATATTATACCAGATTTCCTTATTCTTAGTGTGTAGAACAGTTTCTGACATAGTAGGTTGTCAATAATCGCTTGCCAAATGAATACATTTTTTAAAAATTTTTATTTGAATTAGAAACAAGCTTGTTTTACATGTCAATTCCAGTTCCCTCTCCCTCCCCTGCCCCCCCAACTAACACCCTACCTATCTCATGTGAATACATGTTTTATGTGTATGCATTTTCCAGGTTAAAAATGCATTTTCATTTGGTTGTCATTAGAATATTCATCCATAAACCAGGAACTATTTGTTTGTATTCACTTAAATTTGTAACTGTTTCTCCACTTACACTAATACACATGATCTGCCAGGTAGTTTCTTATTTACCATGAGGATATTTTGCCAGCCTTCAGTGATGTGTCTCAGGGGCTAACACATCTTCCTATTGTGCCTACATTGTACTTTTGAGTCTTTAAGATTCTTATGAATCACTAGGGAATCTTACTCAGAATCTGCTTCATTGTTAGTTGGCGCCAGGATTCGCTTATGTCTAACAAATTCTCAGAGCATAGCTGTACTGTGTGGTTCACCAACACCATTTAAGTGGCAAGGTGCTAGGTTGGATGCTGCCAATTCCTCCTTTGACAGTGGATTGAAACAATTTCCCATTGTCCTTTTGTATGTTAAAATCATCATTGTGTATTTTAATTTCATCTTTCATATTTTTATTTTTTGTATTTTAGCAAGAGAGTGATAATGCTCATATGTCACCACAGTCTCCAGTATCATCCGAGGTACAAGTTGTTTTAATGCTTTGTATCTTTTCTGTGTTTTATGAAGAGTTGTTCCTTGCTTCCTTTCTCAAACCTCCTTTTTTTTCTACAAAGGAATTTATTCACTCCCGTTTGAAATCTGTGGTTGATTACTTTGTACAAATCTTGTCTATAAAAACATTATGAATAGCATTCCTTTGCATGAATATCCCTAGTGAGTTTTACTAACTTGTGGTTTTCTGTGGAACTTATTTTTGCATCACAGAACGTAAGTCACTTATGAGATGTATGCCTTCTTATTCCTTTATATTAAAAAAAAAGTGGTGGGTTTTAACTCTAGCTTTGGAATGTTAATTTTAAAAATGCCTTTAAGCATTGTGCAATGGCCTCTGGTTTTCCTTGTAGCCAGTTAGGTCGGAAAGCAATGCAAGAGAAATGTCCTTTTTCCACGAGAAACAATCCTGCAGTGGGTTGTTCCTATCGACAGGAGGTCACACATTTCCTGGCATCTTATATCTAAAGAATAATGGGAGAGCTAGAATATGAAAGTCACCATTTCTCAAATTTTGTTCAAGTACTGTGGTGGTTTGAATGACCAGTTCATGGAACTTAATCTGTTGTTTTACCACAAGAATTTTAAATATTTTAAAAAGTATCCCATTTAGCTTTGATTACTTTTAGTATTCTAAAGTCCATTTTCACTGATAGGAAAAACGATCATTCATTTAGTGAATTTAGGTCTCAAAATGCTTGATTGGTCTGAACTTATTATATAAATTTGATTATATAGTTTTTATCTCATTATGTGTAAATGGATTTGTTTTCAGTAATCTGGGATTCTTTATTACTTTGGGTGATTTGTATTCTAAAACATTTCTGTTGTGGCCATGAGCATGAGTTCAATAAAAATGATTCTAAATTATATGTAAAATAAAATTATATATATATATATGTATATATATATGGCATTAGAGAAAATTTAAATTAGAATATCCTAAAATCAGTCATAGTTTTGTGCTTTTCTTTGTACGTTATAACAATGTAAGGATAGACATGACTACCACTTGGTTTGCATAGTTGCTTTGTGATTTTATGGCCTGTGTCTACCAGGATGTGTATTAAAGTCAATTTTTCATGTAAGTTCAACTGCTTTTAGGATTTTTGCTTGTGTTTGGGTAAGTGGGATTTTTGTTCAGGAATTCATAACCATTTACACAAACTAATGGAGACAATACATAAGACTATAGATGGGTAGGATGATGAACTTGTGTTTTTATTGCTCCACTACCATTCCCATTGGGCTGCCTAGGGCGTCTAGAGAACATTCAGACACCCTCCAGCAGTCTCACTGCTTCAGTTTCATGGGAAAATAGAATGGCAAAACCCGTTAATGTATGACACTTTCAGTCTCTCTGTTTCATTTGAATGTAAATATCATCCCATTTTATGTGCCTTTATCATTTGTAGCTTAAAAGAGTCTAGTCAGTAAATGGCAGAGAAGTAACTAAAGCTTTGGCCCTACCTGCTTCCAAGAGTTGTCACCCAGAGTAATAAGGTGCTGCCATGATTATATTGTATCTATTTAGTTTTATCAATTATACAATTTATAAAGCACTTTAAGTTATCACATTTAGTTTTTCCAACGACCTTATTTGAATTATGTGGACTTAGTCACATTAAAATGAGACGTTTACACACATATACTTCAGGCTTTTTTACTCTCACCAGGGTTTTATTTATGTTATATGTATCTTTCCATAGCTTGCCATGGCTTGTAGAAGCACTTTAAAATAATGTGTGTTCAGATGGAAGAGATAATCATGTACTCTCATCTGTTATTCTAAGACCCCTGTAATTGTGGGTTGACCTCAAATTTTCCACTGCTAAGTGTCAAGCCAATGGTACATACAGAATCTGTGCTGGTTAATCTTTTAATTGATGTGTGCTTCATTATTTTAGAGACCTTAACTTGATTCTTCTTTTTTATTTTTTTTGATTCTTTAAAAAAAATCTATCACACCTTATTAATGATCTTCCTTTGCAATTTTTTCATACTATAAGAAAGCATTCTGGGCTGGCAAGATATTTCCCTGGGTAAAGGCATTTGCCATCAAGCCTGACCAATTCGGTTTGCTCACAAGGACCCGTATGATTGAAGGAGAAAAGTTGTCCTCTGACTTCCACATTTCTCTCTCTCTCTCTCTCTCTCTCTCTCTCTCTCTCTCTCTCTCTCTCCTTCACCCCCCACACTTACTCACTCAAAATTTACTGTTTAAAAATGAAGTAAAGATTTAAAATTGCATACCCATATAAATGAGGATTATTTATTGAGTTTTAATGTGAAACATATCAACTTGACTTGAAATCTAGGTTGACTTCCACTATTCAAGTAAATTTTGGAAATAAATATTTCTCAAAATAGGAGTGGCTATGAAAACATGCCTTGATGAATTTGGAGCAAGTGTTTTCCTTCTTCTTTTTTTTATTAGGAATATGACAGGACTGATGGCTTTTCACATGGTCCCTTTGGCTTGAAGCCTAGATCAGGTAAATATATAGTATAGTCTTTAAATACAATTTGTTGTCTTTGTTTACTATAGAGCCTCCCAGCTTAAATTGGTTGGAATCCATGATTTTATGGACTCAAAGATTCTTTCCCTTCTTCTAAAAGCAATTTTCTCTTGATCTTATTTGTCTTTACACTTCCCATCACCATTTCTTTATTTCCCATTACCTTCAAGTTCCTGTAACATCAGCTTTTTGCCTTAGGTATCCTGCAGTCTCATTCTCCCCTGCTGTGACTGCCATTAGAATGATCGCTCTGCCAGCTGCCAAAACCGTTTGAAATCCTAGCACTCCATTATATTGTGGTTTAAAACAGGGATCTTTTTGCATTTGGCATGCCCCAAAGAAAATGGATCCATTTTACTTGGCAAGGTATTGAATTATGGTCTTATTCCTGAATAACCACCTTGACCTTTGAGAATAATTTCTTTTTTTTTTCCTCTAAGGCTAGAAGGGTGTCCTATGTTCAATCATCATTTTTAACCTGGGTCATAAGTTTCTCATAACATATGGTTAAATAAGAACATATGTAAGTGGTGGAAATCATTACACTTGTATGGCCTGTTGCTTTTCAACCATGTAGCCAACGGTCATTGACATGTAATTAAAATATCTGGAATACATTATTAACAACATCTTCTGTAATTCTGTATTTTATCATGTCTTTTTCTCCATGGATGGCTGTTCTTCGTAATATCGTTATAAAAAGATAAGGGATTTCTGTTTCCACACAGCTTTTAGTCGTGCATCTCGGCAAGAGTATGGGGCAGCAGATCCAGGATTTACAATGAGAAGAAAGATGGAGCATTTACGGGAAGAGCGCGAACAGATTCGGCAGCTTCGCAATGTAAGTCCCGCTGACCTTGCCCAGCTGCTTTAGACAAATAGGTTTCATTTGGCAAATTTGTATAGTGATTTTGTTTTTAATGCTTTTTTCTTAATTTGATTGTATAATTAGTAATATGAATGCACACCGCATGTTTAGGTAAGACATTTGCAGCTTATCCTCTTGTCTTTCTAGAATCTTGAATCCAGATTAAAAGTAATTCTGCCTGATGACATAGGAGCCGCACTGATGGACGGCGTTGTTCTTTGCCATTTGGCCAATCACATAAGGCCACGCTCTGTAGCTAGTATTCATGTACCTTCACCGGCAGTGGTAAGTAGTGTCAACAGATTTCTGTTTCTCTGAAGGAAAATACAAATTTTACAAGCTGTCTTTAATGTTCTTAAGCAAATACAATTTTCAGTATCAACTCAGTTCTGTATAAAAGTACTTGAAACGTATGTCTTTCTCCTCTTACTTTACAGCCCAAGCTGAGCATGGCAAAATGTCGAAGAAATGTAGAAAATTTTCTTGACGCTTGCAAAAAGTTGGGTGTCTCCCAGGTAATTATCTGATAAAAATCATCATTTGCTTATTAATATCTATTACATGGAAAGTGGAATCAGTAAATCATCTTCATAGCGAGGGATGAGTAATGTTTTGTGAACAGAAACGAGGACGTTTTCTTTGTCCCTCTACTGTGTTCCTGTATGTAACTGTAGCACTTACCTAGAAAGGGTTTTTTGTTTTTAACTTTGAAAGAAGTCCTTTATAGGGGGCTGGAGAGACGTCCTGAATTGCTAGGGCTCTTCCAGCAGTCCTGAGTTCAAATCCCAGCAACCACATGGTGGCTCCCAACCATCTGTAATGGGGTCTGGTGCCCTCTTCTGGCCTGCAGGTGTATATGCAGACAGAATACTGTATACAAAGAAAAATAAATAGATCTTTAAAAAAACAAAAAGAAGTCCTTTATAAAGCATCGGCCTGTCTGAAAAACATCTGTTGGTCATAGATATCACTGAATAAGTGGATAGTGGTGATGAGAACTCAAGCTTGATTGTGACAACATTGCTGTTGTTTATTTATTTCTGCTGGATTGTCAAATCCAACTTCACCCTTTCCCTCAGCTGAATAGACACTATTTTTTAAAGAAGCAGTGAATTCACATGTACTTTGTTTATTACTTGCTGTCTTTTTCTTATTTTCTACAATTTAAATATGGTGTGTATGCTTAAAATTTTATTTCTTTTTTGTTTATTTTTTAAAGATTTATTTATTTATTATGTATACAATATTCTATCTCCATATATGCCTGCATGCCAGAAGAGGGCACCATATCTCATTAAAGATGGTTGTGAGCCACCATGTGGCTGCTGGGAATTGAACTCAGGACCTCTGGAAGAATAGCCAGTGCTCTTAACCTCGGAGCTATCTCTCCAGCCCCCAAAATTTTATTTCTTAAAATGCTTATTTTTATGTGCTTATAATTTCTTAGGAAATTGAAAATCGAGGACGTTTTCACCTAGCTGTTATTACATGCTCTCTTTTTTAAAACCATTTTTTGTTTTATGAGTTTTATATTTAGTTTCCATGTGTTTTATCTTGAATTTGGCAATAATAAAGCATAATTATTTTATTATTTTTTTGCTCTAGGACACTTTATGGTTTTTAAACAACTTTATGGGGTGATACCAATATATAATAAGAAACATAAATAAAAGTATAAAATTTGATGCTTTTATACTTAAAAAACATTCTGGCCAGGTGGTGGTGACACAAGCCTTTAATCTCAGCACTTGGGAGGTAGTCGCAGGTGAATCTCTTTGAGTTCTAGGACAACTTGTTCTATAGAGTGAGTTCCAGGACAGCCAGAGCTGTTACACAGAGAAACTCTGTCTTGAAAAACCAGAAAAATATTTTTTTCTTGCTTTGATGGAGTACAATCCCAGTTTCCCCATCTCTGTAGTTTTCATGTTATGTCTTAAAAAGCTTTGCCTAATACAAGGTTGTAAGTGTTTATTTATACCTATATGTTCTTGGAAAAGTTTTTCAGTGTTGTTTAGGTGTAGGCTTCATTTTGAATTTCAGTTTTGTGTATGGTGTGTGATAGGGTAACAAATTTATTTTCCTGCATACCAGGGTCTACTTTTCCCAGCACCAGGTGTTGATAAGAGTCATCTTTCTCCACCGAATTGTCTTGACAAAAACCACTTGTTTGGAAATGGAAGTTTTCACTTCTATGCTCTCTCTTTTACACATTGATTTCTTTATGCCAGTAACACCCTGTCTGACTATAGCTTGATGGCCCATTTTGAAGACGGTGTGTATGCTTGCATTTTGTTTGATTTTAAGGTTATTTTGGCTGTAGTGATTCCCTTGCATTTTCATGTCAATATATCAATTTTAGTGTTAGCTTGCCAAGTTTGGCAAAATGGCCAGCTTAAATTTTGTTTTAGATTACACTGGGTGTATAGAATAATTTACAGAATATTGTTTTCTCTACAATTTCATTCTTTCTTTAAGTGTAATTGTTTTTTATCATTTTTTAATTTGAATTACAAACAAGATTGATTTACATGACAATCCCAGTTCCCTTCTCCCTCCCTCCTCCCCTACCACCACCCGAATTAAAACCCTACCTATCACATATCCTTTCTTCTATTCTTCCCCTGACTCAACCTTTCTGCTCCCTCATGACCTCTGCATCCTTCCTCTTCTTCCCTTCTCATTCTCGTAGCTCCCTCAATTTCGTTCTTTTAATCCAGTAGCATGAGACGTCGTTTCATTAATTGATACCTTTTAATATAAATATAAAGTGTATTATAGTTTTCAGCATATGAGGACTTTGCCTCTTTGGTTAAATTAAGTCTTCAGCATTTTATCCTTTTATTTTACTGTAATACAATTACTATCTTAATTTAAAATTTTTCCAGATTTGTATTTCTATTATGTAGAGATACACCTGATCTTTTATTCTGCTATCTCGCCAAATTCACTTCTAGTAGATATGCTTGCATCACTTAGAATGTTCTCTGCATGAAGCCACATATCGAAAATAGGATGCACTTTTGTATCCTAAGTTTAATGTTTTCAGTTTGGGCGTTTTTCATCTGTCTAAGGGTTTTGACTGGAATCCCTCTTATAAATGAGTGCCATGGGAAGTCTTCCTTCCTTCCTTCCTTCCTTCCTTCCTTCCTTCCTTCCCTCCCTCCCTCCCTCCCTCTCTTTCTTTCTTTCTTTCTTTCTTTCTTTCTTTCTTTCTTTCTGGGAAAGCATTAAGTACTTCATCTTCTAGTATGATATCACTAGGTCTTCCATACCTGCCCTTCCAGTGTCTTGATGCATTTTTCCCAAGTTAGTTTCTTACAGTTGTCCAGGTTTTGAATAAAAGCCCATTTTCTTTGCATTCAACCGCCTTTCTTCTATATCACAGGCTATTTGTGTGTTTGTCTATGAATCATTTTTTTTTGTTTATTTACTTGGTTTCCTTAACCCTTTTTGCTTAATAATTGCCTTGGTAAATAATTGTTGCTCTTCATAGATTTTTGAAACCATGTAATATTAGGTATTCTGAGTCCTTTGCATTTCTATATACTTTTAGAGTAATTTATCAACTTATATAGAAAAAGAGGAAAGCCTTATTAGATTACTACTACAAATTTTGTTAAATTAATAGAACAAAATATTAAGAACTATATCTAATTAAACAACATTTTTCTCAATTTCTGTGAACAATGTTGTCCTTACTGGGATCTTCTTAAATTTTATTCACAATTAATTTGGATATTAATTTAATATCTGGTCCTTGATTGCTAACATATATTGATCTCTGTGTTCACAACCTTGCTAAATAATTTCCCCACTCCCTCTCCTTCAATCATGTTTCCTAAGAACAAATATAACCTCTTCTTCCATTGTGATCTGGCTGATTTTGTTTCTTTCATTTTTGGTGTTTGTTTTTTGTTTTGTTTTGAGGACCGGGTTTCTCTGTATAGCTCTGGCTATCCTGGACTTCACTTTACAGACCATGCTGCTTTTGAACTCAAAAAAATTCACGTGCCTCTGCTGCCCAAGTGCTGGGATTAAAGATGTGCACTACCCACCACCTTGCGTGCTCTGTTTTTTTTTTTTTTGTATTAGTTAGAATTGGGGTTTAACATATATATCTTAGTATAGGCTTAAGGATGAGGGATTCAAGAAAGGAAGTACTCAGAAGAAAATAAGACACACAAAGGATGGTTTCTTAAGAAGAGTCTTAGAAAGGAAGACATACCCAAGGGAGGGTAGGATTTCTTCAAGTGAAAGTCATCTGTGGTCTATTCTGTATTTTCTTCCTTGATAAATTTGATGGATTAATTTCCCAGTGCAATCTTCAAGAAAAGTGGCCTGAGTGGATATCCTTGTTTTATTCTGCAGTTTTAAAGAGGACTTTAATTTTCCACCTTTGAAGTCTGATTTATCTGTGTGTTTTACATAGATAACCTGTATCAATTGAGGGAGTTCCCATCTATTAGTAATTTGCTTAACTTTTTATTGGGAATGGATGATGAGCGTTGTCAAATGATTTTTCTGGATCAGCTGGTATGATTAAGTTGTTTTCAGTTTCTTTCTTTTTTTGATTTTTAGTTTCTTAATAATCTGAATAATATTGATTAATTTTCTAGATACTAAGTCAACCCTGAACTCCAGGGGGCAATTCCTCCTGATCATGATGCATTTTGTTCTTGTTGTCTTTATGTTGTTTGATTCATTTGTAAAATTTTTACTTAGACTTTTCACATTGATGTTTATGAGGAAGTTGGTTTTTAATTTCCCTTTAATGACATAGTCTGTTAGACAGTACAGACCTGCACCATGTATTTGTATCTCTTCCTTTTTTCTCAGACAATTGCATTAAATTTGTGTTATTTTTCTGTAAGGTAGTTCACCAAGTTTACTAATAATCAATCTAGACAAGGGGCTTCTTTCTTCAAAGATTTCAAAACACATCAATTAACTTGTAAAACAGATATAGGATATTCTAGGTATTATTGTCTTTGCATGGGTTTCAGTATAGTTTTTTTTTTTTTTTTGGTTTTTTGAGACAGGGTTTCTCTGTGTAGCTTTGGAGCCTATCCTGTCACTTGCTCTGGAGACCAGGCTGGCCTTGAATTCACAGAGATCCTCCTGCCTCTGCCTCCCGAGGGCTGGGATTAAAGGCGTGTGCCACCAAAGCCTGGCTAGTTTCAGTATGTTTTATCTTTCAAAAATCTTCTCTTCTAGTTTATGAAACTTAATGTCATAATAGTGTTTATGATACCACTTTATTCATTTACTACTTGTAAAATTTCTGGTGATGTTTCTCTTGATAATGGTAATTCGTATGTTCTCTTTTGCCTAGCTAGAGGTGTTTGAACTTTTAAAAATTAATGACCTATCTTTCTTGTACTTTTTCCTATCATTTTCTATATGTAGTACATTTTTCTAATTTCTTGGCTATTTCCTTCTTTATTTTAAATTTGTTTGTTTTACATCCCGGCCACATTTCCCCTTCCCTTCCCTCCTGCCAGTCCCTCTCCCCTCCCCCATCTACTGTACCTCCGTTTATGTTCAGGAATGGGCAAGTCTCCCATGAGTATCAACCAAACAAGGCACATCAAGTTGCTGTAAGACTAAGCTCCTCCCCATGTACTAAGGCTGGACAAGGAATCCCAGTATGAGGAGTAGGGTTTCAAAAGTCAGTAAAGAGTTGGAGACAGCCCCTGTTCCCACTGTTAGGAGTCCTACAAGAGGACCAAGGTACACAACTATAACATATATGCAGAGTGACTAGTTGCTTGGCATTAGTTTAATTTGTTCTTTTTGTAGTCTTTGCTTCAAAACTTCTTTTTATAATATTAATTGATTATTTGAATTTTTAAGTAAACTACTAGAAGATCATCAAATATAGCAATGGAAATTGAGATGCTAATGTCATTTTTGAGGCTTCTTTAGATATATTCAGTAATATTTAGTAGTACTAATTTGGTTAGAAGTAAATATGAAGGAGGAAGCTTTTACACTTCCTTTTTTTGTTTGTTTTTTTGTTTTTCGAGGCAGGGAGGCTGTCCTGGAACTAGCTCTTGTAGACCAGGCTGGTCTTGAACTCACAGAGATCCGCCTGCCTCTGCCTCCCAAGTGCTGGGATTAAAGGCATGCGCCACCAACACCCGGCTACACTTCCTTTTTTATATCGGTGTATTTTGAAAAATGACTGAGATACAAAATCTAAAAGATAAGCTTATTTGTTGCAGCAGTTCTGTCATGGACATGTTGATTTTGATGTATCTGTGGGACATATATTTGGTCATGGCTCACTGGTATTTGTTTGATGTACCTTTAGTGGAAATAAAGGTTTTGAATTCAGGGTGGAAGTGAGAGTTAAAATTATTTGATAAAACACCAAAGAGTGGTGTAGTGAAAGAAGAGAAGCATGAATATAAAATTCTTGGAAATCTGTAGGACATTAGGAGACTGGCAAGACTACTGTAATTTGTAGCCCGATTACTATGGGCAACTTGAAGAACTAAACTGACTGGTATCATAGAAAACAAAACAGAGATGAGGTTTCAAGTAAAGCACTGATTGAAGATTGATGTTAACAGAACAGTCAAAAATGTATGTGCAACATTTGATATTTAAGAAGGTGTTGATGATTTTGAACAGTGCAATTTTAGTGAGAAAATACATTAGAGGCAACTGAAAGATAGTAGAGACTGAGTAATGGTGACATATTCTTCATCACAATGTTTCTGAGTAGAGATAGATGTGTAAGAGTAAAATGATGGCATTAGAGGCCAAGCTAATCTTCATAATCACTTTCTTGGTATAAATTGTGAATCTAACCACATTTTATATTATAATTAAGAAGAAAAATGTCGAGCTCATTCCATGTAGAGTGAGACTCTCTCAGCCTAGACACACGGGGGAGGGCCTAGGCCCTGCTCCAAATGATATGACAGACTTTGGTGATCCCCATGGAAGGCCTCACTCTCCTTGGGGAGCAGAAATGGTATTGGATAGGGGGCCAGTGGGGGACAGGGGAGCAGGGGAGGGAGAGGGAGAGGGAACTGGGATTGACATGTATAACAAGCTTGTTTCTAATTTAAATTAAAAAATGGAAAAAAGAAGAAAATGTTGAATTACTGTGCTATTTAAGTTGAATAGAAAGCATATTTGAAAAATCTGCTTCTTCAGGTTGGAAGATGGCTCAGCAGTTAAGAACAAAAGCACCCACCTGGCAGTTCACAATCATCTATAACTGTATTCCCATGACATCCAATCCCCTCTTCTGGTGTGCAGCTAACAAAATATCTATATACATAGAAGAAAGAAATCATTTGCAATAATCTAATTCATTGTTTTGGGTTGAAGAAAAGGGGTATATGGGTGGGTTTGGGGGAAGGAAAGAGAAATGGAAAATGAAATGGTGTAATTATAATCTTAAAAGATAAAAGGAGGAGGGGAGGAATAATATTAAATTATTAAATAATTTAATAAACAAAATTTTAAAGTCTGGAACAGACTTAAATTTTCTCCAGCTACTAAAAAATGGACATTCAAAACCCTTTTCTCTTTCCCCAGGAGAGACTCTGCTTGCCTCACCACATTTTGGAAGAACGAGGTCTTGTGAAAGTTGGAGTTACAGTTCAGGCACTCCTGGAATTGCCTACCACCAAGGCATCTCAGCTTTCTATGGCTTGATGTGACGATTAAAAAAATATACATGTATAATTTACTATATTTGAAATGATTTCAGATATCTGAACATCATGAAGAAGTATGTCCAGTAAAAATAGTTTGCCTTAGGTTTCTTTTTTCAAAATTACATGAAGATCTCAGAATTTAAACTTTGAGTTGTCCAAAACATTTTTGGAGTAAAATTGGATTAATTTAATAGGAGTTTTGGATAAATTAAAATTCTCCCTTTTTGATGTCATTCAAGAACCTTGACTGATATTCAAAATGCAAATTGATTCAAAATTTAAAACATGCTTTCAATTTAACAATCACATTAAGTTGAATTTTTGTGTCACTGTATACTAGTAAACATCTGAGTAAAAGTAATCATATTTTAGGAAAACAATTCTATATTTGAGTTATTTCATATACTTCTAGTTTGTACACAATCTCTTCAATATTTTGTCTTTGTTTCCTAGGAAAAATTAATAGAAAAAACAAAACCCTGGCATTATTCAGTTCTTTTAGTATTATCAGTTGGTGCCAAAATATTTTCATTTATATTGTAGGTTGTTTACATGTGAAGTGCCTGTGTAATTGATGAATCTCAAATAGTCTTAAGCATTTTTGCAATTTCTTTTTATGTATTAATAGAATCAATGGAATTTTTAAATATTTTGGTAGGTTTTGTATGGTCAGTAATAGGTGAGGATTTAAATGTACCTCACATTGGTGGTTTCTTAGTTAACCCATTGCAGTTTTCCTTAAATTGGTTCTTTCATGTTGTCAAAAAATGTTAATATGCTTAATTTATGCTATTTAATTTTGCAAAAGCATAATCATCTTTTAAATTGTTTTATCTGAAGAGTATTTTATTTCTGTGTTGAAAACATTACACAAAGCAGTAAGACTTTGGAGGGCCGGGGAAGTACTAATTGTCCAGGACATTGTGATACAACTGTCAGTGTTTGGGTTTATATCTTGACTTATCAGAACATTAAGTACATCAGCGCTGCCTTCCACATTCAGAGAGCGCCCATTGAGAAGCAGGTTTTGATTCAAAATTTGGCCATTTCTGGATCATGTATACCTTATGATCCTCAAGTAACTTGATGTTGAATTAAACACGGTCTGTTTCATGAAATAGTGTGTTCAGTAATGTCCTTGCTTGATTTGAAGATGGAGAAACTCATGGTGATAGTAGTGCAGGATTTTTTCCAAAACATTACTGTGATGAGTAACTCAGTTTCCTATAGGAGAGCCTTCATACTCACTTTTGTAGTAGCCAAGCAAGTATCATTTCTTAACTGTGTGATTATTTGCACTTGTTACCTCTTGATATGGATGCAACTTAATAAAAATGTTGGCCTGGATATTTCAAAGGGCATTTATAAATGTAAAATGTCACGTGCCAAATACTATGGTAAGGATTGGTTTTAGAAATAATTCTACATTTTGTGAGTCTGTTGTCATGAAGCCTTATTTTTGAATCTTGGCTTCACAATACAGATTTGTTCTTTTCATTCCCCATGAGTTAAATTGGAGCCATTGAAGAGTAAAAGCTTTTTATTACTTATGTTTTAATAATTAAATTATTAATAATTTATTATTTAAATAATTGATCTAATTAGATATGATTAAATAGTTGGATCTGAAAAATATCCCCATTGACATAAGGAATCTCCTTAGTGAAAATTTGGATAATATAAGTAACTTAGTAAGTACCTTAGCTCATGAATTTCTAATTTAGACCAGTTGACAGCATTACAAATTTAAGACATTTTAACAACCAAAACAATCATTCATACTTGTATCATGGTTATTGTGCTATAGAATTCCTCTTATTAATTAATTTTGTGTTATTTTCCAAGATTTTTGTGCTTTGTTATTATTGAAATAGTTGTGAGTCTTTAGGCAATTCCTTTACTGCATTTCACTTGTCAGTTAACTATTGCATTAGAGAGAAATCACACCAGAACTTCAGTGCTCATTCTTTATTGCAAATAAATATTCTTTTCAAGATGGGTCCCCTTGAGATCTCTAACACAGACATTCAATTATTATTGTGCCAAAAGGCAATATCAATATCATTTCTAATGCAGTTTCAGTGTAGTCCACAATGACAACCTTATACTAGGACCCTGATGTATTTCTGTTAGTAGTTTTTTTAGTGTAAATTTTATTCTAAACGTTTTCTATGGCTTATTATATATTTACTTCATCAGTTATTGAATTAAGAATGATTATCATTATTTGAATGGTTTTGTGATTTGAGGAGGATTGAAAAATCAAAGAATATTTTATTGGGCCCAAAATATCATTAGATAGCTACTTCTGTTAAATTTTATGACCATATGGCACAAGAAAGAAGTGATGTTGGGTATGTTTCAATTGAAATGAGTAAAAATGCATAACCATTTGTTTAATACTTATCTTTATAGAATGCTAGTTTAATGACTTTTCTAACTGAATTTTTTGAAGAATTCAGAAATGTTTGTATTAGTCACAGATTTATCATAATTGATTTTCTGATGCATTTAAAATAAATGAAACACTAAATGTATATTACCGATGCAAACTGTGGATAAAATTGAACGAAAAAATCTAAGCTGGAACTCATTTTCTTCTTTTCAATCGTCTTCTTCCCTGTCAATATCTCCTCCTTTTTGGTCAATATTTGATAGTTCATGTCTGTGGTCCCCTCTGTGGATGAATATTCAAGCCTCGTGTGCTGGCAGTGTTGTTCAGTGAGTGAAAGTGCTTGCCGTGAAGGCTGACAACCTGAGTTTGACTTCCAGGACCTATATGATGGCAGAAGAGAACTGAAACCTGAAAATTGTCCTTTGATTGTGTGTCCCCATGTTTTTAAGCTTCACAAGTAGACCTTGGCACCCTTTTGTCCCACACAAAACAAACAAACAAATACTTTGATAAGATAGATACTCATAGTAGGCTGTTTTAGTTGGGCATGGTGGAACACCTAAAATCTTGCCTCCTAGAGAGTCTGAAGTGAGAACAACTTTTGAAACGAGCAGTTTATGGCTAGCCTGACAAACAGTGAGTTTTTGTCTCAGAAACTAAAGGAAAACAGCAACAAATGCAACAAAAGCTGAAGTAGATTGTTGTAGGAGTCCAGATTGATTTTACACCATATTATTTTCAAGACCATTTTGCTTAAAAAGTTGTAAGTTATTAAGCTATCTTTACAATTTCACGTTACCAATGTATGATGGAAAGAGAAAACTTTATTTAAACCAACATATAGAATAGGCCAATATGTGATTGTTTTGTTGTAGCTTTTTAGTGCTTCATATACGACAGAATTATAAGAAATCTATTCTTTCACTTTCAACTGTAAGTTTTCTAAACATACTCATATTTAATTGGGCATTGTGGCTCACTGTTATAATGCACTCAGGGAAGGAGAGTTACAGTGAGTTTGGGACTAGCCTTCACTACATAATGAGACATCTTCTCAAAAAAATAAATCCCCAAAGCACATGTTATATTAAAGTAACTATTATTTGTTTATAATTTTTTTGACCCTAAAAGTAAAACATTTACATATTGGCAAATGCTGTTGAAGAGAATGTTGCTATAGTTACCTTAAAGCTACACATTTACATGAGTACTTAAGAGAATAGCTATTGGATAAAAGGTGTTTAAAAGTAGTCCCAGTTTATTGCACAATTTTCAGTGATCGTTAGCAATCACTGGGCTTGATTTCTGCTTTAATAAATCTATAGTTTTCATATTCTACATTGTGTCCCTAGAATAAATTCTCAAGCAATCTATGCCAGTGTATGGTGAACTCCAAAGGCAATGCATTATTGTACATAAGATTATTATTGAACATAAGATTGATTTGTAAGTGCCAAGAAAGCTTCTGTAATTGATGGAAATTATCAAAATGATATGTTTTAAGCTATAATATCTTCTATTTCCATAATTTAATACAAAAGTTTTCCTTATACTTACCATTTTGAATGACTTAGGCTTTCCACAATAGAGTGTACTTATGTGTTTAATGTAAGGCCCAGGGTCAAAGTTTTTTAGCATAGTGAAATCTTGTTGTTTTGGAAAAGTCTAGAGTTTGTAATGAGAATTCTATATATGAACAACTTATAAGTTATGGCAATTCTAACAAAAATAGTTAAGGAAAGCCATTTGATAGTTGAGTCATTTGAAAATTACTAAAAGAAAAATGGATTCTTTAAAATGTGATTATAAAATAGTAAGTTGCTCCATAATATTTTGTTTGTTTCTCACATATATAAATTTGATTACTCTGTCACTTAATGGTAGGAAATTTATTTTCACTGTATAATACTGATACACATTAATTACATGTCTACAAATATAGTTGAGAAATATATAGGATTTTACATGTTTAAATACATAAACATGTATTTTCAATAATAGATTGAATTTGCTAAAAGTCCTTACTGAGATCCCTCATTAATTTCTAATGCAAACAAATGTAAAACAACGCATTATAATTTATGAGATAGTAATTAAAGTTATACCTTGCATCTGTGATGGATAAGCCTGGATATGTATATGGGGTTTTTATTTGTTGATTAAGTTGCCTAGTAGGGGCAATGCCACCCTTTTGTAGGTTAATTCCATTTATGTTCTTTTTACATAATGTGTATACATCTATTTTAGGAAGCTTTTACAATATTAGGTTTCCACATAAGTTATTTTCAAGGTCTTTAGTGCTGTTTATCTCCCTGCTTTTACATCACATTGTCTACTCCAATCTACCCCTTTCCTGATCCATGATTCTGGTTTAAACATTTATACCACCTTGTTCCATCTACGGTCAATTGAACATTCCCCCATGATGTTTTACTAATTAATTGACCTCTATGAGTATTGCGAATTAAGCAGATAGTTGAAGATTAAAAGCTGAGGTTATAATTATAAATGAGAAAATTCTGTCTTTCTGGGTTAGGGTTAACTCACTCCCAATGATTGTGTTGAACTCCATCCATTCACCGAGAGCCACCTGGTTGTTTGAC